ATAATAATACAAGTACACATGAAAATTAAAGTACAGATTTTAAACATTTATTTTAAAAGTAAACACACCATAACAGCGTAAATTAAAATATTTAAACAGTAGTAGTTCCACCAAAGGCCACCTCATCACCAATTTCAGCATCATCCATGTAGAAATCGGACACGTCAAATTTAGGCAAAATTGGATTGATATCATCAGCATAATTAGCCTCCACATTTTTTCCTTTTCCTTTTGTGGAAGTTTGGTATAATTTTACCAAGTGTTTTATCGTTCGACATTCATTAGCCCAATGTCCTTTTATGCCACATTTATAGCATTCACCACTTGGTTTTGGCTTTTCATGAGTTTTAGTTTGTGGTGGTTTAAATTTTCCCTTTCCTTTCGAGGATGATTCATTTGGATGTTTATATCCCCTATATGGCCCTTTGTTGAGGTTATTTCCGTGTCCACGTTTAAAGTGTCTGCGTGCACCACCTTGGATAACATTTGATTCTGGTGCTGAACCACGATCAGGATGGCCAAAATTTGTAGGGGTACAACCGGTAGGCCTCATGTTATGATTTTTCATCAACAGCTCATTATTCTGCTCAGCAACAAGTAATACTGAGATTAACTCAGAATACTTTTTAAAGCCCCTTTCTCTATATTGTTGCTGTAATATCACATTTGACATATGCATGGTGGAAAAAGTTTTCTCCAACATGTCATGGTCAGTGATATTATGTCCACATAATTTTAATGTGGACGTGACTTTAAAAATAGCAGAATTATAGTCACAAACAGATTTGAAATCTTGGAATCTTAAATTGATCCATTCATATTGAGCTCTTGGTAGTAGGACCTTTTGTTGATGTCCATATCTCTCTTGGAGATTATTCCATAATTCCTTCGGATCTTCCACCAATAAATATTCAGATTTTAAACTTTCACGAAGGTGGTGGCGAAGGAAAATTATGGCTTTTGCCTTTTGCTGAAAATTATGGCTTTTGCCATTAGCCTTGAGGTGAGCAAGTGCATCAACCCTCCATTTCAGGTACCTTTGACCGGATAAATCAAGAATGTCGAATTCTCTTTTGGTGATGTTGGCCATGGAATAACTACAACATATTAAATTAAATTTATTAGTTTTTTTAATTTATAGATAAGTAGTATAAAAAAAATAAAAAATCAATACATTCCATATTTTTTTTAGTTGGTTGAAAACACCATCACAATAAAAACATACAAGATTCCATGTAATGAATATAGAAAATCATAAGGAGAGGGGTGGGCCACATATTTCTTTAGTGGAGAGTATGTTTAAAAATATATATATATATATATATATATATATATATATATATACCGTATTCCATATCAAAAAGAAAAAGACAAAACAATTTAAGTAATGTATAATAATTTTTACTTCATGTCTTTTAAAAGAAAGACATACTCCCTCAACTAGTGGTGAGTACGAAAAAAAACAAACATACTCACTCAAGAGTATTCAAAACCAAAAGGAAAAAGACAAACTAATCTACTGGTGAATACGAAAAACATAGTGATGAAGAAAATAATGGTATGCTCCCTCTACTAGTTGATTGGAGTGTTTATATCATGCTACCCTCTCTATCTCTTTCAAACCAAGCATATACTCAGTAAAAGGCTAGGATATATATGCAATAAGAAGAATACAGTAGCATATAGATTCAAGTAACAAATTTTAAGAAAGTTATATGCGGGGAGTCTACAATTCATGCATAGATTAATTTAAGGTATGTTCATAATTGAATTCTAATTTATCTTTTAATTTATTTTTTTTAATTTACTTTTTTTAAAAAAAAAAACTACTTTGTACTAAATTCTACTCTGTTTTAATTTATCAAAAACATGATTTTCTGATGTGAAGGATCCCAAATTTGGGCAATCACAGAGCATACTTCTCATAATTTTAAGAAAATATTTTAGTTTGTTTATGAAGAAAATTAAATAAATATACCTTCTGAGAAGAACAAGGATTCTGAGATTTTTGAGCAAACTCGTGCTGATAACGTGTTATAAAATGAGAGAAAAAACTACTCAGAGATTAGGAAGATAAATATGATATATTTCTGATTTCTTCTCTATTGATTCTTCACTCTTCTTATTGTTCTTAATTGTAATTTGCATGGATCTTAAGCCTCTTATTTATAGTAGAGAGGCTTAGTGCTAACACTATTACAAATAGTATACATACTATACAAATGGCAACTTGATGGTGATGAATGATGATGGACAATTTGTTCCTGCAACTTATGATGGAGCATGACCTAATTAATTGATAAATGAACAATTCATATTTTTCTTAACAAGATGCAAGTTTTGTTAAACATTTGAATAGGAACCGGGCTGGACTGTAATATAGATAATTGTCAAAAAATGACCCGACCTATTTTTGACCTGGGACCTGACCCGAAAATACTGGGTTTTGGACAAAGGTTTTGATGGCTGAACCCGAAGTTGACCGAACCCGAAATTACCCGTTAAAAATAGGTCAAACCCGACCGAATCCGAATCCGACCTAACCGACCCGCTAATGTAAGAACTTTTCGATATCATATGGTTTAATATGTAATATAATGTTATGAAAATAAGATTTTAATGATATTTCTTTGCTTACAACTCATTCTTAATGTATAAATTTATATTTTCATACAAAAGTTTAATGATATCGCATAAATATATTCTTTTTTTCAAAATTTTCTACTCCCTCCGTTTGCAAAAAGACTTCCCATTTTGATTTGGGGCAAAAATAAGAAAGTGTTAAATTATAGTTGATTTCCAATTTTACCCGTGATGTGATGGGTAAAAGTAAGATGTGATGGATAGATTATTAGAGAAAAAGTATGATGTGATAGGTAGGGTATGAAAAAGTAAGGGTAAAAGTGGTTTTTTAATAGAAAGGGGAAGTGTTTTGTTGGAAGTTGAAAAAATAAAAGATGAAGTATTTTTGAGAACGGAGGGAGTACATATTTAATTTTTTTATTCGTAATATTGACGATCGGTCGTAAAAAATACTTAAAATTTCAAAAAATAAATGAAAGTTATAACCCATTGGGTTAACCCGAACCCGATGATATTGGGTCATGAACATGTAGCTCTCAACCCGAATCCGATCTTACCCAAACCTGAAGTAACCTGAACCCAAGGTGATCGAACCCGAACCCGACCTGACCGACCGTTTTGTCAGCTCTAAATATAGACCTGACCGGACCAATCCGGGAAATTCAAGTCTGGTAAACGATTTTAAGAAATTTAAGATTCCGGATTTTTGGTCCGGACCGGTTAGAGCCCCGATAATCCGGTCTAGACCGTAAAAATAAAAGGAAGCCCAAATCCTATTAGGTCCAGCCCATTTCTTAACTTCAGCTTTTCGTTTCCATGCGCATAAACTAAGCGAGCAGTCCATTCGAGCAGCCCAAATCCTATTAGGTCCAGGCCATTCGATCTTCTCTCTGTTCGTTCAGTTTAATTTATATTTCCAGCCATTCGCATAGGTGTGCTATGTTCATTTCTCGTTGTTACCAATTTTGGAAGCTCGTAGTATCAAATCTGTTTTTAATAGCTCAATTATATATCATGTGTCATGAACAACCAGAAGTTTTGTTTTTAAAAAAATCTGGTCTGTAGTGGCGTATAACCGGACCAGAAAAATCACGATTGCGAACACATCCGGTCTTCAGTCCATGTAAGAAGACGATTTTGGTTCCTGTCCGGTTCGGTTTTGAACCGGTTATATTTGGATGTATGAAAGTTGAAATCACCCAAATATGAGTAAAATATAACTCTTATCTTCAAAATAAGACTTCCATATTTTATTTCCAAAACAGGAGTTGCATTGTGACTTTGTGGCACTGTAATTGTCATTTCACGATATTTTTTGGAATTATATGTTGACAATATTAACATTGTAACTCTTGTTTTGAAGATAAAAAATATGAAACTCTTATTTTAATTATTTCTTTATGTTTGACTCCTATTCTGGTATTTTTCAGATAAAAGTTCATGACATTTTAATCTTTTTTGGGCACTCTCACTGTTGTTTTCGATAAAGTCTGTGTATGTATAGATCATTGGTAACTATCATCAATTGGGCACCCGTGGTGAGTCTCTAACATTTTTGTTAAAATTTAATTTCGAAACAAGAAATGTGTGGTGGCTGCATAGGTGGTGTACCCCAATCAGTTTTGTACCACCAAATATGAATGACTTTTACATTCTCGCAAAGTAGCAATGGATTTGCAGATACATGATGGATGACTAAGAGTAACCTGAACAAAAAACAGATTAAGTTTCCAATATGAGATTAACAAAGAAGGGCAAGTGCCCAAATCACGGGCTAAATCAAGGCTACTCGTAGAATCACTGAGGGCACACCTTTTGCAATAAACTTTCAAGTTCATCAGTAATATCAATTCCATCTTGCTCCATTCTCGTGCGCATATCGTGTGACATTCTGCCAGCACCAGAGTAAGTCTGCAACACTGATTTGTACACATCACCGTTCAGATAACAACCTTTTAGCTTCTTCAAACAACCACAGAACCGTTCGGCACCATCAACATCCCTCTCCTCTTCAAAATGCTTCAGAAACGTTTTGATGGTTTCAGGTCTTGGAGACCAATCCTTCTCCTTGGACATGGATATGGCGGATTCGATGCACTGCAGAGCACGATCGGCATTCTTCTTCTTTAGAAAGGAAACCGAAAACATTTCCAGCCCATTGAAGAATGGTCCCTTTGACCTCTCCATCGCAGTGGAAAAGACCTCTTCAGCTTCCGTTACCATGTCATGCCTTAAATAGGCACCAATGGCAGCATTCGCAACTCTCATGTCATAACTGGAGCACCTTAATTCCCATTCTGTAAAGACTTTCTTTAGCCCATCCATATCATCCAGCTTACTTAGAGATTGAACCATGATAAGATAACTATAGTTGGTTGTCACTTCAAATTGAGATTTCAAAGAGCTCCAAATGCGGTTCACCTCCACTCGATTAGACATTCCAGCATACAAGCTTAGCAAAAAGTGGTATCCTTCACGGTTACGTAGCCTCCCGATCTCCCCCTCCATCTTTTTCATAGCTATCCCGGCCTTCTCATAAAAACCAAGCTTGGAGTAGGCACACGCCAAATGACTGTATGTTGTCCAATCACACATTTTTTCATTACCACTCTTCATCTCTTCATAAACTCTTTCCACTCCCTCTATATCATTGGAAGAGAGATAGCTAGTCATCAAGATATTGTAAGTAAAAGTGGTAAGCTTTATGTTTCTTCTCTTCATTTCCTCAGCCAAAAGGGGCACCTTCTCCGGTTTCTTGAGTCTCATATACAAGGACATAAGATTGTTAAAACACAATGTTGAAGTGTAGCGCATCTTATCCATTCTCTCATACAGAGCTAACGCTTCGTCAGCCATCTTCTCAACACAATAGCAATTTAGCAGAGATCCGTAAGTATAGCAATCTTGCGCTTTAGATGGAAGATCATTGAAGTATTTCTCAGCAGCTGGAACTCCCTGGACCTTTGCAATGAGATCCAATAGTATTGCGCGATCTGCACTCCCAAAGTTAACATTCCTATTCGCCATCCATTCCATGATCTGCATCCGCACATCAAGAAAAAAAACTTACCAGTTACCACAAACACATAAAATTAGGCACTGTGAAAAAGAGCAGTTTTACTTCTCCCGGCATTATGCACAAATACAAAATGGTTTACTTTTTGTCTTAAAACGAACACCCGGCAAAGAGAAAAGGTTCAAATTTTAACACCCCAAAACCACACACTAGGAAATGGGTAGAAGATGTAAATTTGAAAGCACATTAAAAACATTAGAGAGTCTGGGTTAAATTCTTTGTCCATTCCATGAGCATTTGAAGGTTCATCATAGAGCATAGAAACTACAACAGAGTTCACAAAACATCGGTCGCATTGAAGAAAATAAGAGAGTGGGATTAGTAGTAGACCTCAAGGGCACATTGATGTTTTTTAAATTTGCGGAGCTCTTTGATGCACCTTTCAAGACACTGCTTCTCGACGACATAGCCTTTTCCTTCCCTAATGTACTCGTTTAAGATCTCTGAAGCCTTCCCTTTGGCCGAACCCAACGCCGATAATCGCTTGTACAGAGTTTGGCTTTCGTTACGGACAACAGGTGTCGCCGCCGTCTCATTCTTCACCTCCACCGCCGTACACAGCCGCCTTAACAGCGTCGATCGCCCCGTTAGGATCCGGTGTGTTACAATTTTCGACATTTTCCCTTCACTAATTCCAATTTCCAACTACCGCATCCACGCCTTGGCGTTTTTTACTAGGGTTTGAGCTCTTTCGAAATTTTCCTGTCCTACCTACCCGAAACCGGATCGAAACAGGATGCGGCTTAGGCCAGGTTACTTAGGTATTAACTCAAAATGATCCACGCTTACACCAAAGATGTACCCTATTTGTCCCTCACCTCTTTCTCTACTACTCAATTTTATTTTATTTTTATTTATATAATTTTTTTAGTCTCTTGCCTTTTTTTGTGGTTATGGAGGGGTGGGGACAAATGGGGTACATCATTTGGTGTACCCCTAGCATTTTTCACTCAAAATTGAAGACAAAAAATGAGCAATGCTAGGGGTACACCAAAAGGTGTATCCCATTTGTCCCCCACCCCTTTATCCACCGTTCAATTTTATTTTATTTTTATTTATTTAATTTTGTTTTAGTTTCTTGCCTTTTTGTGTGGTGATGGAAGGGGTGGGGGACAAATGGGGTGTACCCCTAACATTTTTCACAAAAAATATAGTTTGGTTCCATTTGATTTTACCAAAAATAATTTGTTGTTCAATTAGTTGATTCAGTTCGACTTTTCAAGGGTTGGTGACTTGGTGTTTTATTTTTTTGAGTTTTAAGGAAAATATTTTTTTAAAATTAAAAGTGTTTTGTTAAAAAAACATTTTCTTATAAAATACTCAAAAAAAACAAAATTAAAGTCTTAAAACAACATTAGAACATCTAAATATGCTTAATAACAACAACAAAGTTGAACAAACATAGTATAATCTCACAAAAAAGTAGAGGACTAGAGGGTCTAGGAAGTTGCATGTGGGAAGATCTTTGATCTCTTTAGAACTAGAGGTACTATTTTCAAACACTTTCTAGCACAGACAGAGTCAAAAGTGAACAAATAAAAAGGCAGAAAATTGAAAACATTAAAATATTTAAGCCAATATGTAAAACATGAATTGTCAATGTTAATATTACTATTTGATTTATTCGTGTATACTCCTTCCGTCTAGGTGTATTTGTTTGATTTAACTATCTTGAGCCAAACATATATACTCCCCCGTCCGGAAATGTTCTTCCCATTTGACTTTTTACGGTCTCCAATATTGCACTTTAACCATTAATATCTATATTTATACATAGATATATTTTATAAAAATTTGATAATTGAAAACTACGTTTCATTATGAATATATTGATATTAAATTTACATCATAATACAATGTGTTTTTTCCACAAATCGTAGTCAAAATTTATAAACTTTGATCAAGAAAAGTCAAATGAAAGAACATTTCCGGACGGAGGGAGGGAGTATATACGTGCCTGCTCTTATTGATATTCCTTCCGTGCGAAATAGGTTGCGAGTAAGGCAAATTGATCAACAAGGATTTTTTCAATCAATCAGTGCGAATTTTCTTTAAGAAAATTAATTTTGGTGTTTCTTTTACATAACGACATTACGGAGTATTTGTCAGTTTTTGTATTTACTATTTAATACGGAGTATTTTTTTCTCTTTTACATAGCGACATATTGGTCTGTTGGCTTCTTTATTTTATTTTTTCTTTTTAGCGTTGGCTTTTTTAATACGGAATTACGGAGTATGTGAAAGCAGAGCATGGGGGAATGCCCATCTGTTTCCATATAATTCTTTCGTTCTTTTTTATCATTAATTATTACGTAGTATCGAAGAAACTGATCCACTACTAGGGGCACTATTCTTTTCAATTAAAAAAATAGAATTAGATATTGAAATAAATAGGATAGAATTGAAGGAAATTAGAGAAGTTAGAAAAAATTTGAAAGAGTTAAAAAGACTTGATAGAATTGAAAATTTGAAAAGAGGTGTAAGAAACTATAAAACGTTGGAATAAACTTAAAAGAGTTAAAAGAAATTGGAAGAAATTTAAAAAGACTTAAAAGAATTGGAAAAAACTGGAAAAGTTGGAAAAACTGGATAGAGTTGGAAAAAATTCGAAGGAGTTGGAAAAACCGGAAAGAGTTATAAAAAGTTTTAAGAGTTTAAAAAACAAAAAAGGTTAAAATAATTATTTTATTTTATAAAATTCATATTTTATTTAATATATACATATGTGTGTGTGTAAATATATATATATACTCTACTTTTTAAAATTTAATTTGAATTTTTTTGATTCACATTGTTTCTTTACTTTTAAAAAATAGTATCAATCATAAAAATTTTTGTTTTTAGTTGTATGTCACTACATGTAACAAAAATAAGAAGACAAATGAAGCAATACTTCTTACTCCCTCCCTTCCGAAGTATTTGTGGACTCCAAATTAAAAAGAAATAATATTAGACATTGATACAAAAATAGTTCTATTAGATTTATTATGTAAAATATTTTAAAAATATTATTTTATCTAATTAATATATATTTTATTTAATTATAAGTCAAATATTGAAAATAATTAATTAAAAAAATTCAAAACTCGACAAATACTATGGGACGGAGGTAATATTAATCTTAGTTGAAAGAAAAATTAGACTTAAATAATATAACGATATCTCGACCAAACAAAAATAATCTTACATCACTATATGTGTGTGTGTGTGTATCAAAATACTTACAAAAATGAGCCAATTCTAACCATGTCAACTTTGCATTAGAAATTATTGATTTAACATGATTTGTATTTTTATCTAACTATCCAAAAATTTGCAATTACTAATGCAGTAATGATTACAGAGTATATATCACTTGTAAAATTCCAATATCAAAACAATAGAGTTCTGAGTAATAATTCAAAACAACTCAAATTAATTTTTTTTAGCAAATAACCTAGAACGCCGAACCGGAGAGGAGAAGATGATAAGACACTAATTAGGGGTCATTGCTTACAAGAGTTTGAGTTGTATTTATTTCAAAGAGTTTCCTATTCTTTTTTATTATTATAGAAATTCACTATTCTAAAAAAAGCACGGTAAAAGAAATAATGGCCTAAATATGATGCCATCACTACAAAAAAAGGAGGCAATACCGACAGGGGTCAATATGTCGCTAAAGGTTGAATATCTGTCGCTACTTGCTTTTACCGACAGACAACTGTCTGTCGCTAGGCTGTCGCTAAAAACTCCGTCAGTAAAAGTATTACCGACAGATAAAATATACTGTCGCTAAAATAGTGTAATAGCAACAGACCAAAGATGTCGCTAAAAAAGATAGCAGTACCGACAAAACATATATGTCACTAAAACATGGACTACCGACAAAAAAGAGAGTAGGTAAATCCTTTTTTTCTGTCGATAATACCTTGTTTTTACCAACATTAACGTTTATTATAATTGTCGCTAAACGTTTGATTACCCACAAAAAATTGTGTGAGTAAAACATTTTTTTCTGTCAATAATAGTTTATTTTGACCAACATTAACATTTACTATAACGGTTACTAATATCATGTTTCACACCAACATGCTCTATTTAAGTGATATGAAAGAATTTCATTGACAAATAAAAAGTAATACTCAAACTTGTAATAACAACAATACATAATACGATAACATTTCAAAGGATTACAACTAACCCATTTAGTGGAAAGTAAACCAACACCTCAAAATTAGTTCATCATTTGGGTACGTTTCAAGCTAACGTATAAACAGTCAAAGTGAACAAAATTAAAATACGCATTGATGTGGAAGATATAGTCCAAAGTTTTAATGCTCGTCACTGTTTACATCTTCAAGTTCACTGCCCTCATCTTCATCATCTTTGTTCCATCGATCCTCATCATGACTTTTCTCAGTGGTTGTATTACCATCAACTGTAATGTCATCCAGCGGCGGATCTAGGATTTTAGCTAGATGGGGGCACTATTAGTCGGGGGTCCGGGGACAACGTCCCTGAATTTTTTAATAGACAATATAAATTGACAAAACAATACTGGAGTAATAAAATTTGTTTCGGACATTCCTATTTTGATTTGGGAAGGATTTATTTTTGTAGTTTGACCTTCTAATTATATTTTTATCATCGAAAAAAAGTGAGATAAATTATTTAAATGACTTATTACTTCAATCCAAATTGAATTGAGTATATTGCAACAATTTAATTTAGATATATTAGTCATTTTTTACAAAAATGAAAGTGTTTTAGGGAAAAAATGAAAGAATTTTTTTTAAGAAAAAAGAGGAAGTATGTAATAAAATGAAATTTACTAAAAAAATTAAATAAAAACTTTAAAACCATCTTAATTAGATGGGGTCTTATTAATTTTTGTTGGGGGCATAGATGGGGTCTTATTAATTTTTGTTGGGGGCATACATACATAATTTTTTTAAAAAAAAATAACTTTAACTTGAAAAATAAATTTAGTAGGGGGGATTAGCCCCCAACTCTTATGGGGTAGATCCGCCACTGATGTCATCGATTTCAGATTGATTAGCCGTTGAACTCTATGCAAAAAAATATATATAAGCACATGATAACGTAATTACAAATTTTGCACCAAATTTACCTTACACTCATGCTCGGTGGCATAACTTTAAACTATATAATGAACTAAAAATGATCCATCAGGTGACCAAGACAATCTTGGGAAGAATGATGGCAGTGTCTCATCAAAAAAAGATGACTTCTAACAGCCTGCAGTTCATTAAATACAGAAGCTCATTAGAATAGAGTATCTATCATCAAATAGATAGCAGCGCCAAATGAATGCCTCACCTTAGATTCGTCTACTGTCCCCGCGTCTATCTTGGCCACAGCATGGTGACAAACAAAATTCATCTTCTCGACTCCTTTGGTTCTCGATGGCTTGTTTATGTAAATGCGACATGATCTATCTGAGCTGAGTGAAGCAACATACTTGGATAATGAGTCCTATGTAACTCCTTCAACATAGTGGAAATGCCCGTCAAGAATCTGATGAACACAACCTGGAAAATCAGAACTAGGGTTAATTCATTGTTATTCTTTGCTTCATGGAACAAAATGAAATTCATGCTTCTAACTCACCTTTGTTTGCATCCCATATGATACAGGAATTATCAAAAGATCCAAAAGCACTCTAAAGGACAAAAAATCAGCATGAGTAGTGCAGATTTCAAAAAAATCAGCAAGTACAAATCCTGTTATTGCATATTTAGCTTTTAAATGCTTCAAAATTAGCACACAATTCTTACATAAGACATCCATACATGTTGTACTCATAACAATTTAGTAAAAAAAATCTAAGAAATTAGTGAAAACAAACTAATCCAACAATGAACACCAAATTAGCTTTTAGCAACTCATGATTTCAAGAAACAAAATCATAAGACAAGCACACATCAATATTAAAAGAAAGTTATCCAACAATGAACACTAAAGTAGAGTAAACAAATCTAAGAAGTACTCACACTGCACAGCAAATTGGAGATGAACCCTAGTGAATAACCTGCTGAAATTCAAATCTTTTACACTCTTAAACCTCAAAACAGTAAATAACAATAGCAACCCCAGTAGATTCCCTCAAAACAATTTATATATGTACAATTACCACAATGAAGATCTTATGTATAACCAACCATAAAAAAGACCGGATCAGCCCTCGTTCACGACTATCCGACGAAAACTAGGGTTCGTCGGAGGTTTGGCTCTGCTTCGCCACCAGGAGCTTTTGTCCACCGCTGATGTCGCAATCGGAGAACCACCCAGCGTCGAAGAAGTACTCCGTCCCAGATTCGTCTGTCTTCGTGCCCAATTCCGATCGAAATTGCGAGCCCTCTGTCCAAATCCATCGATCAAAGAAGTGGCCGAACCCGCGTTGTTTGCAATCCACGATGTCCCCACATCCGGCCCTCTATCTCCACTGGCATTCTCATCCATTATCTCGTTTTAATTTGTTAATTTGTTTTTTTATCACATGGCTTGATTCTGTTCGGTTAATTTAGTCCTTTAATTTTAATTTATAACTTAAAAATATGAAATTAAATATTATAATTTTTAATTTGTAAATATTCACAAGAAAAAATTATTTTTAATCTTTAATTTTTAGTTTTTCATCTTTTAAATTTATAATTCATTTTTAATATCATACATTTTTGTGCGACCAAACAAAAACATTCAAATTGAGGTTTTTCATTCCCAATTTCATGACCTCAATTTCGTGTACTAAATGATGCCTAACTTTATGATTTTTTATAATTAATATATTTAAATTAAATGTCAATAAAATCAATACCGACAGATAAAACGTTGTTTCTAAAACTATAAACAATAACGACAGATAATATTTGGTTGGTAATATTATAAACAATACCGACAGATAAGTTTTTTGTTGCTAATACTATAAATAATACTGAGAGATAAAGTTTTGTCGCTAAAACTATAAGTATAAAAATTTGTTGCTAAAGCTATAACCAATGGCGACAGATATTACTCTTTCTGTGGGTCGAATAGTTTTTTCCTTCAATTAATTTTATCTGTGGGTAATATTCTATTTTTAGCGACAAATAAGATTTCTGTCACTAGGGATCTGTCGGTACTGCTCTATATTTTTGTAGTGCTTTTTTTCGAACTCTAGTTAGGGGTCAGTGTTTACAAGGAGTTTGAGTTATTTTTATTTTTGAAATTTTTTTATTTTTTTTTATAAGAAAAACTTTACTATTTTAAAATAAAGAGAGACAAATAAAAAGGGCTTAATAAAAAGCCCCTTTCTAAGTAATTAACTTTAGTAGATGTCAATTTGATGGTGTAAAATCTCTCCTCACTCAAACAAAACGTAACACAAAGGTCGGAAGGGTTGTGTTAGAATGCATGAGTTCAACCCTTTCTGTGTTGTTAAGTGTTAACTTACAGGTTTTGATAATTGACAAATAAAATTTATTCAAGTCAAGATCAAAGTGCTACAACGACAAACACGAACACTTGAAGTGTTATTCCTTAAAGTATTCAAGAAGGTGCACGGGATTTTATTAGAGTCCGAGACGCGTTCGGAGCGCCTAACGGAAAACTCATAGGAGTAGAAGATTTCCAAAGACTTTTTATTTATTTGAGTCTTAGGAATTATTCTAAGGATGACAAAAATATCTTCTCTCCAAAATTTACTTTTATGAAAGTTAAAAAAAATTATATTTATTTTTGGAGTGAGTTGAAAAATCTTTTTGACTGTTCAAAATAGTTTTATTGAGTCAGTTACAAAAGATGTGTCAAACATTTATCAAATGTTTATTTTGATATTATAAAATATTTTTGGTAGGCAAAAATATTTTATTCAAATATTTTTCGTGTACATCGTTTAACACACAAAATATTTCTAGGACTCATTTTCTATACCAAATATTCTTCTCATAATTCAAAATTGTTTTTGAATTATCCTTGTTTGATTATGGGAGCCTTCTCCCCTGATTCCTTTGTCCCAAACAAGACCTTAATGCCAAAATATCCTTCCAACTCGCCCACATGTTTGTGTTATTCATGTCTGGCATTCTTGTTGCAATAATCGATTATTACTTCTGGAATTAATCGATTATCTGGTCCAGAATGAACTAATCGATTAATATCTTTGGCTTTAATCGATTATCACTTTTCCGCGGAGAAGGAATTTTGCTCAAACGAATTTAATCGATTTTTTCAGCTGCATTAATCGATTATGATAATGCACTAATCGATTATGATGATGCATTATTCTATTTTTATGCTGCATTTTTCATCACAACTTCTTTTCTTGGACCAACAGATATATTTCTTCAACTCCTATTTAAACACACTTTCTTGGTCATTTTTCACAACAAGAAACACTCCAATACTCCCCATTCTTGAGGTGTTAATTCTCCATCAATCATTCCTCAAATTTATATTTTTTGAGAGAAAACTATTTGTTTTTAAGAGAGGTTTCTTGTCATCCATTAGAGCTAAACTTTTTCTCATTCCTACTCTTTTGAGAGCTATTATTGAGAAGTTAAAGAAGAATGTTCTTCTTGGTGTACAAGACTTATGTGACTTAAGTTTTGGGTGTAAAGTCTTATAGAGGACATATCTACGAGCGGTTGTGTCGAGGCTTGTGGGATTCAAGTTCTCGAGTTATAAACAGTTTGTTAAGCACCCGTAAGCTTAACAAAAGTAGTGGTAGCTTCGAGAGAGTCTCTCAGGGAACTGGACTAGCCACGAGGTGGTGAACCAGTATACATCAGTATGTTCTTTGCCTTCTCTTTTTTATTTCCGCTGCACTTACATTTATATTATTAATTCTACGAAAATCGGTAATCATTCTCAACAACTCTATTCACCCCTCCTCTAGAGTTGTACGCATTATCTAACAGGTTGCAGGTGGGAACACCTATAACCTAACTATTATATTTCACTTATGTTTATTGGCGTTCTGCCTCTGTGATATTATTTCTCACTCTAAGCTGCCCCTCCAATTGATAAGGCTTACATAAGTATTTAAATGGACAAAGAGTATACTATTCAAATACACTATAGCCATTTCATGTTATTCCTAATGTAGCCATCTTTGTATCAGGTTGAACTCCGTGCTATAATGTATGTGGCATGGGCTAAGGCCATGTTCTCTTTACCTGATCTGATTGAAATTAATTTTGATTTGACCTAATTTGTTCTGATTTGATTAAATCTAAATGTAGTTATATTTAAACTTATTTCTGATCTGATTCTAATAAGAAAAAGTAATAAATAATAAGAATAGGTTGAAAAACATGTCCTTATTCGGCTTGCCCCATCACCAACTTGTGATGTCAAATCCAAGTGGCATTTCTCCCAGTAGTTCTACCATTGCCAAGCACTTGACACTTGATCAAACTGCTCGTGTCCTCGCCTGAGTATTCCTTCTTCTTTATTGACCGATCACTGATACAAAGTCAGGGTAGACGGGGCCGTTTAGTTGTTTAGACCGGGTAGTGAGGAGTTAGGGGCTGTTTGGCAACTTCTGAATAGGTAAGTGCTGAACCAGTAAGAGGTCTGACTGCTGATATATTGCTTAACTATTCAGAGGCAAATGTCTGATCAATTTAGATAAGAGGTCTTAACCATTCAGACTCTGTATAATACTTAACCATTCAAAGGCAATGTCTGAACCATTCAAACATCTGAACCATTAAGAGGCTAAAATAAATAGTCTAAACCATTAAGTGCCGAACCATTCAGACATCTGAACCATTAAGAGGCTGAAACAAACAGCCCCTTAGTCCAATTTCGTCATCAAGCCGGGAAGCCATGGATTTATACACATCACAATCATATTATGTTGTCATCATTTTTATGACAATCATTACTTTATACTCCCTCCGTCCTAAAATTAACTTCTCGTTTGACTTTTCACGGTCTCCAATGCGACACTTTGACCATCAATATCTCAGTTTTTATATAAATATATTTTATAAAAATTATATATTTCAAAACTATGTTTCAAAATGAATTTATTGCTAATAAATTTATATGAAAATTCAATATATTTTTTCTGTAATATACGGTCAAAGTTTAAAAAGTTTAACTAAAAAAGTCAAACTGGGAAATTAATTTTAGGACGAAAGGAGTATTACATTGTCATTACACTCTTATTTAGAAAATTAAATTATATGTCTCCTATTATAATATTTTAATTAAAATTTGCTCTTATTTATAGAGATTTTTTTTACCCTGGATATTCTAAAATCTCCACTCGAACAAAAAAAGCAGCGGTATGGTCCGCATTGAAGCCGGGAGGAGAATGAACGCTACCAAGTCTGCAACTACTCCGCACGCCCAAAAGATGTGCAGAAATGCTGAGATCGTTCATCAGAAGCTCCAACTGAAAGATCCTCTCGGCGAGGCTTCTAGGAGACCCCGTGGCACCGGCGCCGAGGATCGGTCATCCGGTTTCGATGCTAAGATGATAATTTCCTTCCTTTGTTGTCTTGCGCTCTATGGTATTCCGGGTGCTCCTGGCTTCCTCGCCGATAAAACCCATTTGAGCACCAGATCTGAGGTCTAATTCTCCTTTACCTTAACCTCTGATCCTTGTTGATTCCCGCATCCGGGAAACTCTTACAGTTTCGTATGTTTTTCTGTGCTATAATATTTTCAGAAAATTTAGTGCTCAGAATTAGTTTGATCATTCGAATAACGTGCGCCTTATGGTTTTATGTCTTTCATAGGCTCAGTAACTTCGATTTCTTCTTGAACAGTTTTGCAATTTTAGCTGCTGTTTGGTTGTCTGAATCTATCAATTTAATGGATCAACATATGGTTTTTAGCTTTTCCTTTAGGTGTAGGCTGTCATATTAATGGGAGCAGAAAAGAAATCCTTGGGAAGAATTAGGAGGGTAGTGAGCTCTCCATTCAAGACTTCATCATTATTGCTTGGAGCTGTTAAATTGAGTCTCCCTGCACTGACATTATCAGAATACATTTGGTTTCGGTTTTAACTGTTTGGTCATAACATGCAGTCATTCTCTGTCAATATGATTAGCACCTTTTCGAATTCCATTCTTCCCAATTGCTGCAACCAGGACTACTGATGCTGTAAAAGACGTGTTTTTGTTTCTGGTATATGGCTCCTGCTAAATGCTCTCATTCACAGGTGCTTATTTCTTGCCATAACTTAACAGCAGTTTGTGAAAGTCTGCTTTCACGAACTTGATTCTTTTCTATCAGCGCTATATGCCAATGTTCCTATGATTGATGGCCTTGTGTGCATAGCTATTCATATTTACCTCCGTTTCCCCAAGTACTATATCTCACTTTTCTTTGATACAACCTATCCCAACAAACACACTCCTAAATCCAATTTGTTAGAGGATGAGATTGTGGCCCCGGCAAACCCAAGATTGTGCAAGATTCACAAGAATATTACACTTAAAGCAATTCAAAAAGACGATCATAAATATGAGCCATAGTTTTTTTTGCATTAGGTTTTCTGAGCTTCGCTTGAGTAAGCCTAGGCGCCTAAGACTCCCACGCCAAATAACCCTCATATTTTTTCTTGATGCATTTTTGGTCTCTTATTGAATGACGCACTATACATGTGTGTTTGTGTAGATGTAGACTAAGAGAGACTACATAGCATAGTTTGCATTTGTTAAGTAATCAAGTGTTTGTGAATTTGTGCCTCTCCAGTTTGGTAATTTAGTTACACTGATTAGACTCGCTGACCATTGTGATTCTTGTAGCTATGTTGGGGCCATGTTTGCAGGGACCCAATGGAGTTCCAGGGGTTTTCTACTGTCGACTTTCTTTCCATATAAGGTAATATAGGTCCACGGACTTAAATTTGCAAAAGAAAATCATCCTCCTTACTTGCATTTCATTCCATACTTTTTCCATACTGCTTTAATTGTATTTATGAGAAATATGGAGTAATATACTTCCTAGGTCCCTACATTTGAGTACACACGGAAATTGGAGATAAAAAAGTATACCGTGTGATTGAGAAACATTTATCAAATGAAAAATACCTCCTTTGTCCCAGAGCATTAGTCCAATTTTCTTTCATTCTATTGATGATAAAAGTTTGTCTAATTTGACTTTTGAATCAAATTGGAACAATTCTCCGAGTCCGAGGTAGTATTTGAGAAATAATTTACTTTTAAGCCAAATTGGATTAATGCTCTAAAAGTGAGGTAGCAATTGAAAAAATAGTACAGTATGATCCATAGTCCTTATTTTAAAAGAAAATAAAACACAATTTCGGACACACAAAAAAGGTGATAACATAATTGTTTTGCAAACATAGGGAGTATATCTTATGAAAGACTTTAATGCTGCTAATAGTCATTTTTGTCTTTGGGCTATGACGGAAAGTTAGGGGTGGAGTCAGCATTGTGATGCCACAACGTGGACCTCTCACCACATTTACTACTCATTTACACATATTTTGAGGTTAAATACATTTTTTCCTTTTGATATTGGTTGTTGTTGCTCTTAATTAGAGGTTATTTTGGTTGTTTTCATAGGGGGGTTTCAAAAGTGGCGAAACATCCAGAGCCAGGATAATTTACCCACATCTACGACGAGGACAAAGTGCTCTTTTATATCACTCATATGCACTCAGTACACAACTCTCTACTCAAAAGTAGAGAGAAGGAATTGAAATGTTGTTGGTTCAATAGTAAAGTCAAGAGGGGAAAAAAGAAGACAAATGTTACATATACTACATCCTTTCTTTACCCGTGCAGCGAGGCATATCCTCTGCAATCCAACAAAATATGTATCCATTCATAACACTTCGCTATGCATGCCTGTAAGTTTGCTTTTTCCCCAAACAGACGGTCATTCCAGACTAGGCTGGTTCAATTCAATGTTAATGGCTGAGCCATTCAGCTTTTCTGTTCTGGTTATTAGTTGATGGAGCTTCCCACACATTCTTCAAATAGTACACTACAAAAGATACCAACGCGAACAAAGTTATAACACAAAATATGCGTAACAACTATGGTCTTGGGATCCAGAACATGTGTACTTTACAATCATATTGTGTCTATCATTCTCAAGCAAAATCCAATGCACATAAAGGGGTTCAAGTGACCTATTTCTAGGTTATGGGAATTGCACACAAGTATAATGAATCACATAAGGGGAACATAAGTGAAATATACACACTGGTCTCAACAAATTCATGCAATCACAATGAAACACTTGTGAGCACACCAATAATGCTAATATGTCATTCCTAACTCTGGCAAAGGTATATAAACCGGACATGAATGAGCTTAGTATGTATTCCGACTAAGGGAGTTTCCTACTTTTATCCAATTATTACCAACAATTCTCTACCATCTGATGCCCGTTTATGCCTATAAACTTGAAGAACAAAACAACCTTCAATCAACATTAAAAGTTACAAGCACATTACAATTTACAATCATTGCTAATATGTGACTTTCAATACTCTGCAACATTATGCCTGTGAAACATCAGGATGACTACTTGGGAAAAATTTTAATAAATAGAGACGTGTGTCTAAAAAATTAACAGTTGCATTATTTTTAACTACAAAGAATAATATGGATGACAAAAATGGACTAAAAAATGGCATGATCATTACCAAAGCCCTTACAGCTAACGCCCAGCATCTGAACCATACGCAGAAGAACTATCACTATCAGAATCTGCAAATAGTTTGTTGTGGACGGAGTTATATATCCATCAGATATTAAAAAAATAAAAGGCGTAATGAATAGGGCGATGGAATGTTTCCAGGATACACAAACATCACATAGCATGCACAAGATGAAGTCATATTTACCACTTGAAGACGACCCCGAATCACTGCTAGAACTACTTGAGCTACTGCTGGACCTACTAGCATTATCCACAAGCCTTTCACCTTGAGCAGGGGGAGGGGAAGTAGTTGGTGGATAATTCCCTTTTCCTATTCAGAAATCAAAAGATACAATAACATTAAACTACTATCATGAATAAGATCATGAATCAATGAAACACCATTCCTGGTAGATACTCACCACCTCTGCTTGCATTCTGTGAATCAGCAACCTCAGGAAAAGGGGCCTACAGTAATGATAATACAACATGAGTATAAACTTTTAATACACACCAATACTGAAAGAAGAGCTCAAGTTTCAAACTCTTACAGTTACAGCAGTAGTCTGAGCTTCTCTGGCTCGGGCAATTTCAGCCTTCTTCCTGTTTTTGCTCAGACATTTCTTGTGATTGGTTACAAACCTATCAAGTTCCCAAAGTGTCTCTGCATCAACACTGTCAATATCTACTTCGATCTCATCATCATGTTGGGAGAGTGTTGAGTTCCTCTTTTTGATGATCTGAACAACAGCATCAAGCTTGTCTGAAGGTAAACTTTGAAGGTTTGTGCTGAGTTTCTGTTTCTCCTCGTATGACATGTCCCGTTTGTTGGGGTCCCTAGCTTTGGGTTTCTTAGGAGCCGGAGTTCTAAAAGGAAATGACGACTTCCTTCTGGTATCGGCTGACCTCGTAATTGACTCAGACCTATCAAAAGTCCTTGTTTGAGAAGCAGGAATATTTGCTGAGAGAGGAGCGGGGGCAAAGGTGGGTGGAGCCGTTTTTGTAGATGTGGGAGTGGGCAAACCCGAATCGTGATATATTTGAACACTCCAATTCGGATTGTATTCAGACTCTATAACTGCCCACCTCTCTTCAAACATCTTGGACATTTGTTCTGCCATAATGTGAACATCCTGGCCCTTCGGGTTATATATCATGGCATTACGAAACACTAACCTCACGTCCTCTGCAAACTCCCTTGGGGATTTGTACCAATTCTGGGAAAGCCTGGTCTTAATTGTGCCTAAATCCATGGGATGTTTAATAATGTCATGATAATCATGCAGTCCAAGAGCGTAAACATCTACCGGTGTGTTAAACACCCAACCAAAATTGTGCTTCATCAATTTCTGAAGAAGGGCACTGCATTTCCTAAATACTTGATTCTTGTGCTTTTCATACCCAAAGCCAAAACCACGGCCAAATTCATTGCCGTGCTTTTTCCTAGAACCATTGGGCTTCGACTTTTTATTGCTTTCAGTAGGCAAGCGATCCTTTCCGAGTAAGAACTCTGAATTTGCATAAAACTGATTGGCTTTTGGTGTCCTTTTTTCCTTTTCCAAAAGCTCACCAACCCCGTGATTTCTTTCTGTGACTACAATACTTGGCGGCCTAAATTGGTGCCCGACTGATCCTATCTCTGAGTTCACTCTCATTAAAGTTCTGTTCTTGATGGCATAATTCTGGGGAAACTGTGGCTGCCCAAGTGCATGGACAAAATCACCAGAAATAGCACAACTGCTCCCAATATTATCAACATCAACATCATTATCATAGGCTGTTAGCTGATGCTGCTCATTAGCTTCAATCTTATTTACTAAAACCCTGACCTGATAGAGCTCATTCTCTAGTTTCTTCATAAGATCCCTAATCTCATCTGCAGGCCTTACTCCTGAAAAATTAATCCTAACCTTATCTTCCATCCTAGTGAAGATAGGGCTAGATTTCACCATCTCAATCTCCGCCCGGTGCATAGATAGCAGCTCATTATCCTGTAACACAGGCTGCTGGCATTGGGAACTTACATTGGTCTCTTCTATGGGATTGTCCTGCCTCGCAGGCATCTGCGGAAGAGTTCCGTCCGTTTTTTGCAAGTGATTATCCTGCATGATAGGCTGGCAGTCTATACGTTCATCAATCTTGTCTATGTGCTTATCCTCGACCACAGGCTGGCAACAAAAATTTACATTTGGCTTGTCTATGTGATTAGGCTTCACCATAGACCGGCAGCCCATACTTCCATTTAGCTCATCTGTGTGATTATCCTGTACCATAGGCGGGCTACAATGACTTCCATTTGGCTCGTTTGTGTGATTACCCTGCACCACCGGTTGGCATTCTGGAATCCCATCTGGCTTGTCTCGGTGATTATCCTGAACCATTTGCTGGCACGGGACACTTCCACCTGACTCATTTATGCAATTCTCTAGAACCAAAGGCTCGCATCCGACAATTCCATTAGGTTTGCCTGCATGATTCCCCTGCAGCACAGGTCGACATCCATCAGGCTTGTCTGTGTTATTCTCCAGAACCACGTGGCGAAACCCATAACTTCCATCAAGTTCCCCCACAGGCTCAATTCCATCATCTTGTCTTTTCTTACGATTGGACACTACCACCTTCCTGTGACGGGTGCCTGCATCCCGTATAGGACTCACGCTCAGAGTCGCTTGGATCTGATTCCGGGAATCCCTCTGTTCATTATCTTGATTCGGTAGCTTTGGTCCTTGGGATTCAAGGGGTTGCAGATTCGGGTCTTGAACACCAGATTTCTCCCTCTGGGAATCGCCGTTGGACGGTAGGGTTTGCAGATTCGGTTGTCGAACATCAGATTTCTCCGTAGGGGTATCGCCGTTGGGAATATTGGCCTGTGGTGTCGAGGTAGTGGTAGCGGCGGCGGCGGCGTATGTTTCTACGTAGTCGGCTCTACAAGCGGCCTTCCGTTTACCCTTTCGGGTATAGACTTTGCAAGCGTCGCCCCACCGGACCCTCTCTCTCGAAATCAAATCAATTAAACCCGAATCCATACATGAAACCGGATCCCGACGAACAAAACACGAAGCCGATCAAACGACACCCTACCTTCCCCCGAAGATCCAACCTTTGCCCATAAGAGGCAAACCAAGAACTAGGGTTCCGAGACCCAGCGATCTGCAACCCGAATCGGAAACCCTAACCCGGTAGACACGGAAAAAGCTCCGATTTTCAGAACTTACGGGAATCGAATTCGTACGGAAGCTAGGGTTTTCGACGGTGAAAAAAAAATTGAGGAAAAGGAAATTACAGGAAAGTTGAAGGATCTCTGCAGTAAAAACAAAATAAAACGTTTTAATTTTTTTTAAATTAAATGGGAATTTTGGTGCAGAGGGGGGAATAGAGAGAAGAAAGAATCCAAAAATAAAAAAGAATTGGAGCTTGTGACTATGTTGTCTGGTCCGAAGTCTACTCCCAACTCTTGAATACATACACACATACATATACTGTACCAGCGAGTGGGTGTGTGTTCCTTTTATTGCCCCTCTCAACCACAATGAGTGTCATGTTTCTCTTTTCCACGTCTCCACAAATAATGCTCTCTCCCTTTTTTTATATTTCTTCTGTCTTAAAATATTTTTTTCTGTTATTATTTAAACGATTAAATTTTAATTACTTTTTGTATTTATTTTTATTAATTATTTGATAAAATAATATAGTCTTGTCACTTCTTGTTTTGTAGAATTTTGATGTAGTTTTTAAATATATATATTTTATTTTTTAATTTTACACCTACAAACAATAAATTAAATTAAAAATAAAATAGGTCAATCATCGTAAACAAAAACAGGAAAATTTTTTTAGGACAGAGAAATATTTCTTCTATCCTATAAAACTTTCCAATGACAAAAAACTCACATTTTAAAAATGTATAATTTTGATATTATTTTTAAATTTTATTTTTATTTTATAATAGTGTTACATATGATTTGTAGAAGAGACCAGCCATAATTAAAAAGAGTAAATTCTATAATTGGTCATTTATAACAGGGGGTTTCCCTATTTAGTCCTCTATTATCAAATATTATCTCAGAGGTCCTTCTTTTCTGGATATCTTTCCACAAATAGTCCTTTTTTTGATATTCAACCATGTTGGAGTTAATTTGAGGAGTAAAAGTGTAATTTCACAATGATAATATATCTTTTTTGTCATACACAATTCCAAAAGTTGTTCCATTTGCGTCGTTTGTGAATTACATTCGCTTTCTACTACAACCATAGTCTACAAATGTGGTCTTCTGTCGGAATCCTAGCCCACAATCATAGCCATTATTTTAGTGTTATTCACTTAACCAATATCAGAACACGTCACTAGATATAATGTTGATGTCAAATTATACTTTTAGCCTTTATATTAACACTCACATGACGGAAGATCAAAAAAGGACCATTTGTGGAAAGACACCCTTAAAAAAAGACTACGAGGGTAATATTTAATAATAGAGGACTAAATATGGAAACCCACATGTTATAAAGGACCAATTATGGAATTACTCAATTAAAAAATAAGATTAAAACTATTTGTTCTTAAAGCACAATTCTTTCCGTTTTTGAAAAGTTTTATTAGACTGGAAAGTAAATTTTACTTTTCATTTTTCGTTCTTCTTAAAAAAGCTTTATTATTTTTCACTACTGATAATACTTCTTGTTTGGATGATTTCAAAATCTTGTTTACCTTTCTTTTTTTAATTAAAAATTATATAGTTCGTTAGTTTTTGTGTCGTGCTTCGCTCACGCTCGTTTGCGCTTACATTCAACTAGTGTTAACCCCGTACTTCGCACGGGCTCGTATACATTCTAAATTTTGACTCTTCAAATATAATTTTATTTATTTTAGATTTCTAATAGTGACATTATATGTGTTAGATGTATGTTTATTAACTCTAAGATATACTCTGTATCTTTTTTTAAATAGAAACTATAGTTTTAATATTTATGTACATACACTAAAAATTCTTTAAATATTTTGTTTAAAAGTACTAAAAGAGAAATGATAAATTATTTTTAAAAAATCATATAAATATATTTTTCAAAACATCGACAAAGTTTAATAAATACTTTTTAGATATAATTTAAGTAAACAAAACATGTTTTAAAGTGCTGGAATATATATTGGTATGTTAATTCAAAAACAAAAGGTTTTATTAATTAATGGTTTTTTAATACTAAAATATAATATTCCTTTAATCAAATGCAATAAAATGTATTTAAAAAGCCAAATGGACCAATTGAATGTAATCCACCTCATTAATGGGTGCACATGTGGTCAACACCACAACACATAAACTTAACTTTACATATATACTACTCCACGCCCTCGCATATTTTTCATATATCTATATGTTAACATAGATATTTTATGTTAACATTTTGTATGTTTGTTAAAAGTTCAGTTAATATATAAACATAATATGAACTAAAATTTAATTTAATTTATTTTAATTTTTTAATAATAATAATATGATATGCATTTTAATTTGTTTTTTTAAATTTGGATATGATATCTTGTAGTAGCAAGACAATTAGATACAATATTTTTTGAAATAAAATTTGTATTTTAACAATGATTTCCCTGCTCTAAAATTTATATAATTATTGTTTTTGAAAGGCAATAAAAAGAAAAAATGGTGAATAGTTTGAAAGCTTATTTTTTTTGAATTTTAAACTCGTTAAATGAATATTTATATAATACTAAAATAATGAAAAGGTTTATGCAAAAGCATTAGCCATTGAATATAACAATATATATATTTTAACTTTGGTATGTGCATATACATATATGTTTTAACTACTAAATATGATATTTTTAATAGTAGATACAATGAACAAGTATATAAGAAATGAAATACAATTTTAACTAATGTTTATGCAATTGTTTTAAAATAAAATTATAAATTTAATAATGACGCAAATATACTATATTTCATATAAATCTATATTTTTAAAATGGAATAAAAGGGAAATGATGTAAAAATTTATACAAAGAGCTGTCATTTAAAAAATTTAATAAATTTTATATAACCTTTTAAAAAGTAATTAATTAATTATAAGATATTAAAATATATTTTAAATTGATGAAAGACGTATTGATATAATAATTAGAATATGAGAAGTTTTATATATACAAATTTATGGTAATTAAATGCAATAATCATGAATATTTTTTAAATAAAAAATAAAGTAATAAATGTCATTTGATGACACTATGCCATGTGGATCAAGAATTTTGCCATGTCATACGCCACATGTCTCCACTACAAGGTTTGAATTTACACACACACACACACACACACACACACATATATATATATATATATATATATATATATGATAGGATATATAGGATATATAGGATAGAATAGGATATATAGGATATGATATGATATAGGATAGGAAGGATATATGATATATAGGATAGGATATAGGATATATATGATATAAGTATACTTCAAAAGAAATTTACCACTAATATGAATAAATAAGTGAAATATGTTTCGTGAGCTAAAAAAACTGAAATATGTTTCAAGACCAAATAGTTTTCGTGGTTTCAAAACATTACACACACACCCCTTCTGGTCATTTTTCGGTCATTTTCCTACGAAGAGGGAGACATTGGCCATAATTTTTAAATCATAGGGGCATTCGTGCTCATTTCTTATTTTTCGTTTATTATTTGTGTTTTTATTTTTTTTTTAAAAAATATTTTCTATCTCTTTTTTTGTTTCCTAGATTTTATTTTTAAATTTCTTTTCAACTTTTTATAATGTTTTAAAAATTTTAAAATTCTTGTTGTTCGAAATAAAAATAAAAGTGAAAAAAATTCACATACATTACATCTATCTCAAATTAAACATTTTCACTTTTTGTTACTTATAATTATTTTTTGGAAAGTTCGAAAGAAAACCTGTAACACCTTAATCCGTCCAGGTCTGCAGCCCCATTTGGACTAAAGTATTTAACTTGGTAATCGTAAAATTTAAAACTTCTCAAACACACTTTATTAATCCCAATAATATTTTTCATAACATATACAGTACGGAGTATTTAACAATATTGCGGAAGCGAATTTAATATTGACATATCATAATGTTGGAACACACTTTGTACGATAAACTAAAGTCGTGTTCATTTCTGACAGGTTTTGATAATTGCCAAACTGCCGTGGATATAAAAAGTTTCGTTGAATAACTCAAGGAGTGAAGAATGACTTGGAACAAGACCTAAAAGACTCAAGGACAAGATCAAGAATTGAAGACTTAGTCGAGTCGGTCTTTTGTGATCAAAACCGACAATAAATTCAAGTCTCGGTTCTCAAAAAGTCAAAACAAATTTTACGAATCATAAAATATTTTTTTGTGCATCAAAACAAACATTTTTTGATGATTTCTTTTACTGATAAAATCCCTGGTTCTTGCTCAGAACCGAAACCACCTAAGTCGGCGTTCGGCTTTCGGCGTTCGGTTTTTGGCGCCCGAACCAACTCCATGGTTTTCAATATTTTAAACCCTGTTTTTACCTCTGAGCATTTTTAAAATGTTCCCAAATAATTATTTTATAAAAACCACTTTTGTATCTTGGTCAATCGGTCTAACACGTGAAAAACGGTCTAAACCGTACGCACGTATTATACGACCTTGGAGACTTGGTTTTTACCAAACAAGTCTTGTTTTCACTATTTTATACCGTATACAATATTTTCCAAACCTGGTTTTTACTTTTGGGAACACTTCGTTTTTGGACCTCGGTTTTTCAAAACGGGTTTCAGCTGGCTAGACTTTAGCTGAGTGATAATCGATTATCACTTTAGTGACAATCGACTATCAGCCCCTGCAACTTTGAACTTCCAAAGTTCTGAAGCACGCCATAATCGATTATCACTTATGTAATAATCGATTATCAGCCTTTGCAGCCAAAACCCAGAATCTTCTGAGAGGACCAATAATCGATTATCACTTGTTGACAATCGATTATCTGGGTTACCGTTGTCCTCCAACGGATAGAATTTTAAATTTTTTGGACAGGGAATCTTTGGATAATCGATTATCAAGCTTTGACAATCGACTATCACCCTGTGTCTCTGAAAAAATTGTCTTCATCCTGTTGGAAACTCTAGCAACGGGTTTATCCCATTTTGGGCTATAAAATGGCACCCAAATCCTCTCATTTTACACACAATTCTTCAACATTTCAATACTCCTTTATTGCATAAGCATTCCTATTTTTCTTAGCTATTTGAGAGCCAATTCTTAAAGAAATTGTCGTGTTCTTGAGCGTTTACTAGTTCACTCATATCTACTCTTTGTGAGAGTTTTATCCCTGAGTGTTTAAGTGTTTTCATACACTTTAATGGAGGTTGTTCCCTTGTTGTAAACTCGAAGGAATTTGCTTGTTCCTT